GAAGCCAAGGGGGAGCCGACGCAGCGGCTATCAGAGCAGGAAGGTGTTGCTGGTGCTCACCCAAAGGCACAAGGCAGATGGGGCATCCTTGGCCACATGGTCCTACACTGTCATGCCATGATGCAGCCTCTTCTGGGCCAGGATTGACCTCAGGCTTGTCAGAGGGCTACGTAGCTCCTCTTTTCCACCACACAGCTAGCCTGGCTTGCCCAAGACTTGATTCACTTCTCCACTGGATCCCGTCTTTGCCTCCACGTGTTAGAGTGAACTTTTAGACTCACAAGGCACTTTTTAGACATGGATTATCTAGGCTCAGACATTAGCTGCTTTTGTGACTTAGCTGAGGCCAGGTGGGTGTAAGGCAACAAGAGTTGTCTAAGCTGGAACCTTGAATGGGTGGGTGGGCAGGCTGAGAAGGACAGAAGACCTTGTAAATGTGTATGGTCAACAGAAGAGCATGAGGAACTAATATGGAGAGGAAAGGCAAAGAAGGGGAGGGGGTAAATACCCATCTTCTCTAATGAGAAATAATTCGGTTTAGATGCATTGGAACAGAGGTCTCTGATCTCAATGACGTTTGGCCTCAACCAGTTAATGGGAGACTGCACAAAACCAGAGTGTGTTGTTTGCTTTGCTTACACAGATGTGACGTATTGCTCATTTCAGAGCTGCTGATCTGATGCTGCTCTGAGCTGTCATCATCTGCCACAGCAACAGCATTTAAATGGAAGGAAGAACCAACAGGATGAGGAAAAAATAATTTCTGGCTAATGGGGAGCCTGCCAGTGAGTCCAGAGAAATCAGCCCTCCACAGCTCCAGATAGGAGCAGCTGGAGATACTCATGCCACCAGGAGGAGCACATCAATGAAGCTCATGCAGCGGGGTGGACCCTCTCCTCCTGACCAGCAGACTGGACATGGGGACATGTGTCTCCAGGTTGGCCTGAGGTCAGAAGCCTCTCAGGGCTGGTGAGGACTCCATTGACTCTGCAGCAGGGATGCTGGTCTTCCCCCTCCCTCTTCAGCTAGATAAGACAAGGGTATGCAACAAAGGCCACTGAAGCTGATGAACATGTTAGGTGCCTTTGGGGTAGGCCATAAAAACCCATACAAGATCTGGATGACCCCTCTTCCTGCAAAATCAAAGTATCCCAATGGAGAAGGAGAATCCTTTTGTAGAATGAGGACCAAAACTTGAGCTCATTGTGCTGGGAGAAGGTCTGTGCCTTAATGATCCCAGAGCAACATTGTCTTCCTGCAGTCACCACCGGGGCTGGTGGTGGGCAACATAGTTCATGGAGGATGAAATTAGCAGCTCTGGACCTTGATAGGCACAGTTTCCAACTTCACCATCTTTGCTGAAGAAATGTCTTTAAAGCTTTGCTAAGTAAAGTATCAGCCCTGCCCTTGTTCTGGGGAGGGAAAACAAAGATGGAGTGTGGTGTCTGGACTAATTTTCAATCATGGATTGCTCTCTTCTTTGTCAGACATTACTGTCCAGGCAAAAAGCAGATGAAATCCATGAATCAAATTTTCCTGAAGCATTTTATGGGCAATACTTCTCGGTTCCAATGCAAATGTAATCTAGAACAAAACTGCGGCTTGAGAAAGAGAAGGAAGATGAACAATGAGAGTAATCATTAATAGACACTGCTAGCATGACATCTTCTGTTGCATTGAATAGGAGTAAGTGCTGTGAGCCAGATTTTGGAGTTGGTCATGGTGTAAACCCAGAGTAAGTCTGCTCAGCTGGTGTCAGCAGGGTGACACTGGATTTACCTTGTGTATGCAAGACCAACATGTGGACTTGAAAAGCAGTCTCCACAAAGGTCCTTTGCAGCTAGATACGATGAGCAGAAGAGGGTAAACTTAAAAACAGATAACTCAGAAATATAATATTCTGGTTTGCACTGTTATTTTTTTGCCAGGGCTTTCTGGAGTCCACCACTATCACACTTGGCAAGGACTGGCTTTGTTGTGCAAGATGATTCAGTTATGCCAGCTGTATGATTTGATGACTGCTAATAAGCATAGATTTGCTGAAGTATTCCCTGAAGTCTTTGCTTTGAAAATCCTCATCAGAAATTGGATTAGTTGTAGGGAATGAACAATTACAACACAAGACAGTGTATTATGTTAAGACAAATTGATGGGCTTTATTTAATCATATGGTCCTGGTCACATCTTGATACTATTTTTCCTATGGAGGGAAATGCATCACTGCATCAGTAGATACCAGAAGAAATACTAAAAGATTCTTGATTTAATTGACTAGTGTCTAAAAAGAAGGCAAATTAACTCTCTGTATCAAAAAAAAAAAAAAAAAAAAAGAGGGTTAGGCTTTTATTTTAGGTTATCTTGGTTCTGTATGTCTTTCTGCCCAGATATCAGAGATAAAGATTGCGCTTTCTGGACCACAGGGAGGTGTACGACCAAGTTCCTCAGAAGGACTGTCTTGGTATGGGAGTAAAAATTCAAGTCAAAAGCTCTGACAAGATGATCTGCTCGCCATGTGCTCTCTAGATCATCATGGCTCTAGCATCAAAGGTCCTGCAGATGCAGCTAAATCAGGCTAAGGCCTCCCAAGATACACCAAAAGGCTGGAAATCCTTGGCTAAGGTTGCACCAGGCATCAAAAGATGAGAGAGATGCAGAAGATTAGAGACTGGTTTTTTCTTCTTTACTTATGTGCTGCAAAATGTGTCTCAGGAAATGTGAGGGAATATCACTAAGCTTCACTATATTTGCTTGTCCTAAGTGATTTTGTCTGAAATCCAGCTAAACTGCTGCCTGGTGGCACAGGCTGTTGTGTCTGGGTGTGCAGAGGGATTAGCACTTTAACCTGCTCTAGCACCTTGACTTTGGGCCCCATGAGAACCTGGGAGTGTAAAAAGGGTCACCTGTGACTTGCTGTTGCAGTTTCCCATTGGGAGGACCATGACCCGCAGCCATTAGAGGTTGAGCAATTCTCCATGGGTTGTTTCTCAAGCACCCAGCAAGCACAGCAGTTAGGAGGCATCTCCATGTGATTACGGTGTTGCTCACCTTCAGCAATGGGTCAGGGCCGCACAGATTCCCCATTTCATTACTCAGTCTTTACCTGTCGGTGGGGTAGGTTGAATCTGGGCAAATCCAACAGCAGCAAATATAACCTGCAGTAGGGTGGGAACAGGGTATGGGGATGCCTCTTGGGTTTGGGTTTGCTGCTCCGTTATCGAGGAATGGTGGGTCTGATCCCACCTCCCCCGGTTTTAATTAATAGCGTAGCCAAATCATGCTATTATCTGACAGCATGAGAAGTTATCACTTTAAGAAGTTCTGCTGCTGGTGGTACACGTATTTGTTACCTGCTGCCTCTCTCAGAGGGGCACTACGGAGGACTAGTTTGTATTTAAGAGATGCTGTGTGCAATGACTCATGCACAGTTTTGCAAACCATTCATTTCTATTAGGTCCTCTCCCGTTGTTTCTCTTGCTGTCATCTGGCTTGCTTTGTGCATCTTCTGTTTCCATATGGGTGTGAACAGAAAGCACGTGGGGCTCCCTGAGCTGCTGTGGTGGACTGACCCTACCTGTCAGCAGAAGGGAGAAGTGAGCAGAAGGGATCTGGGCAAAGAAGGAATGATGTGTGTGCCTGTGCCTTGGGATGACACTCAGTGTCTCTTGGTGCTGTTCCTGGATATTTTGTGCCATTCCCAAAGGTTAAAAAAAAAAAGAAAGAGGTGTTTTTTAGGAAGATTATGTGTTCAAAATACCATGTAAAAGGGTAGGTGACCTATCCTGGGGATGATCCTCTAATAGCCTCACTTGAGTCTCATCCTTCACCTCTTGCATTGACTCTTTCCCTAGTTTAAGAGCCAAAATTTTACTGTGATGCCTGTAAATGCTCCAGGAATGTAGGAATTAATGTGTTGGATTGGGCCAAGGGCCTATCCAAGCAAGAATCTTGAGTGAGGTACAAGCCAGTGCCAGATGTTTTGCAAAAAGCCTCCATTAAAGATATCTTTCACACCTCATTTCTTCCTCATTCCCATCAGTTTCATGGCTGCTCATAGCAGTCCGTGTTGTGTTTCCTGCAGCCGCTCTCTCCCTGCATGCAGCTCATGAGGACAGGATTGTGAAGTTTCTCAGAGAAGACGCACGGTCTTAATCCCATCTCTCAGAGGTGGAAGGTGTCTCATAAACATCCTGCAGTCAGCAAGACAGTTTCTTAGAGCAGAGATTATTTCCTTGCCTATGAGACATTTTTAAACAGGCAAAGTAGTACTTTGAATTGAATGGAAAGTCATCAAGCTTTGTGAACTTCAGTGAGCTCATAACCCATGAAAACATATTTTAGAAAACAGATTATTTTTTTTCCTTTTCTAAAGTGTTGAGGCTTTTTCATAGAATCATAGAACAAGTTGGGTTGGAAGGGACCTTTAAAGGCCATCTAGTCCAACCCCCCTGCCATGGGCAGGGACACCTTCCACTAGATCAGGTTGCTCAGAGCCCCATCCAACCTGGCCTTGAATTTTTCCAGGATTGAGGCATCTACTACCTCTCTGGGCAACCTGGGCCAGTGTTTCACCACCCTCATCGTACAAAATCCCTTCCTTATATCTAGTCTGAATCTATCCTCTTTTAGTTTAAAACCATTACCCCTTTTCCTATTGCCACAGGCCCTACTCAAAGTTTTGTTATTTTTCTCTTTAAGACAGGCAAACCAAAACAAGCTGAAGCAGTTTTCATGAGTATACACTTCAATTTGGAGCCAAAAAGTAATTCTGAACACAAACCTATGTTTTGATTCCAATGGTTTTTGGAGAAGAAAAACTATTAGTCAAAATCAACGTTTTCCCATGTAATGGAAGATGACTGACCTGTTCTCTCTTTTTTTAACCCTCTTGGCAGAGGAGAGAAACAGCTGTTTGTCCAATTCTTGCCCTGGGTGGGCAACCGCTGGTCTGGGCTGCCCTGTCCGCCGGGGGCCCCCATGACAGCCGCGCTCTTCTCTTCCAGGTGCTCCTTTTCAAAGGTCCCAGCATCCCCATGCTACCTCCTGCCGACACTTCCACCTGGGTCCCCAGCCTCAGCTCTCCGCCGACTTCGCCCTGCCTCACGCGGTGCAGCCCCAGCCGGGGCTGACTCCCCACATGGCCCCCGCGCACCAGCCGCTGGCACCGGTGCCAGCCCTGCCCTTCCAGGACGTGGCCGGACCCTCCTTCCTACCTCAGGCGCTACACCAGCAATACCTCCTCCAGCAGCAGCTCCTCGAGGCACAGCACCGCCGGCTCATGCCTCATCCCAGGTAAGGGGCTCTCTCAACTCTTCCCGAAGGATCCTGAGGGAAGCCGCGTCGGCTTCGCTTCAGCAAAGGGGCTTCTGCGAAACCCTGGCAGGGCGTGCTGGCAACATCAGGATTTCTTCACGAGTTCGTCTGTCTACCCCCAAAACGCAGCAGGGTGCAACCAGAAGGGAAGGCGCAAGGCAGGCTGTAGCTGCAGGTGTACCTTTCCCACGGGGATCCATACTGTGCTCATCTAGTATGTCCCAAGGTCAGCTATTATTGCCACTCATGGGAGAAGCACGGTGGTAACACCTTGGTGTTCCAGTCAACTTGTCCTGCGTGGCAGAGCGAGTGATAGACTGCATGCACGAGCTACCTCCTCGTAGCTGCTGTTTCAAAACTGTGTAAGAGATTGTACCCACCTTTCTTGTCAGGTTTTGCACATGAAGAGTTTGCTTCTCTGGGTCTAGGTAGGCTTCCCAGCTCTATGAGGAAATGATGTTGTTGACCTGAAGCACGTTCAGTTACAGAAAGGAGTCTAAACTCTTAATGGGCTGACAGCTTCAGAGAGAATCACTGTAACTCAGCAGAGGTGTAAATGGATGCCTGGCCTTGCCCTTATTGTGCTTCTAAAGGGAGGGGTTTAGATAGCACACAGGAGAGGAGTGCTTTTTGGGGGGAACACATGGAAGCTATTTGTGGGTTGTACCCATGGATCAAAAATCAGAGGATGAGTCTTCATGATAATGCTTCATTTGGAAAGAATGCTACAGGCAGAAAACAGTTTCTTTCCATACCCTTTCTGTCTGAAAATTGCATGTTCTTCTCATCCTTGGTTTTTTTTTTTTTTTTTTTTTTTTTTGCATAAACTGGATTTTAGGTCAATTTAATGATTAGTTAATAACTGGATAGCAAATAGGTGTAAAGCTGAGGCATTGATGATACAAGTGTTTATCTCTTAGTCATAAGCTGAATTCAAATAAAAGCAAGGAACACAATTTCACGCAGAAGCTGCTTTGGTAAATGCTGTCAGAGTTACATTTGCAAGTGGGTTGTGGTGCGGAAAATGGCAGGAACTTCTTGCCCAGTCCCACTGCCTGTTTCCGAAAGCACAGCTTTCAGAGGGTGTTGGAAACCTTACAGGTGTGGGGCATGAGGTCCCAGTAATGGGAAACTGGGTCACACATTCAAAAGGCTGTGTTTGCATGAAAAATTCTTTATCTAATAATTCCCTGCCCCATTTCCTCTAGTGTTTTCTCATTAGATTTGCTTTGTGATGGCTCCACTGGTAAGTTGGGGCTTGACAGGGGGCAAGGGTATGAGTCGGTCTGTAATGCAAATCTTGCTTATGCATCCACTTCATCTCTCTCCAAATGTGGACACTGGTCAAGTAGCACATGATCTTCCCCTGAGTAGTTCAAATAAGTAATAATAATGAGAAGAGACTCAAATATCTTGTTATATTTTCTATCACTTTCCTTTCCCTGCCTGCAAAGTCAGCAGAGGTGGGGGGAGAAGGAGCTGGATGCCAGCCTGGCCTGTCCATCACCCAGAGAAATGTTGGCAAAGGCCAGAGAGAGTAAATTCTGCTTTCAGTTACTCCTGAGTAATTCTGTTATGAATGAGGTTCCCCAGGAGTTTATGAACTGCACGGGGCGATGAGACATCCTGCAGCTTCTTTATGATGATGGATAACGGCTGAAGCAGGGACACGTTTTATCTAGTGTGTTGTTTATGGGGCTGACAGTGGAGGAAAAGAAAATAGTGCGAGTGGCACAAAGCTGCTAAGGAAGAAGTTATTTGGTTCCCTCTTTTTTCTCTCCATGTTGCCCTGTAAACTGAGCATATGTGGATGCCACAGGGAGTGAGAGTGCAGGTCTGTGTTATGTCTGTGGTGACCATGAGTAAATAGCATAGCTCTGGATTCCTCTTCCCATCATCCCTGACACCTGCCTGGACTCTTCTCTTGGACACACAGTCACAAGCCCAACCATCTGGGTTTTCCCCTGGTTTACTGACACAGGCTCGGAGCAGGAGCTGCATGTACCAGTGCTCTTCATGTGGCTGACTTTCTTTCTGGTCTCCTCCCCACAGGCGGGCTCAAGAGCGCATGTCTGTTCAGCCTCACCGTCTACACCCCAGCTTCGACTTCAGCCACCAACTGCAAACTCCACAACCCATGGGGCCCCAGCCCAGGTACCTAGCCGAAGGCACGGACTGGTAAGTCTTCCACATATAGCTAGTGTGTTGAATGAGGTGTTCAAAAAGTCCTGGGATGGCTGCAAGGTCTGGTGAATGTCATCATGGGTCGATGCTTTCATGACAGCTAATGGTTCTGCTCGACAGATACAAATTGGAGAGTGTGCAGTGGGAAAACTCATCTCTGGGAGGGCCATGAGTGAGTGCTAAAGCCTTTATGCATGTATCTGATAACACTGAGGCATCATGCATGTATCTGAAAACACTGAGGCATTGATATTGCCCTTAGCTCTTCAGCCATGGATGTAGAGTGCAGCCAAACATTAATCTTCCCCAGGGACTTTTCCTGCTGCAGGGCACAGACAGGGTCTTTTTCCTGTAGACCACCATCTCTGACTGAACTAGATCTTCTGCTGTCCACCAGGCACTCAAAAACCCAGTGACCACAACGTCCTCTGTGCTCTAAATTAGGGAGAACCATGCTGCCCTGCCCTGCAGGGTGGTGTGAATGAATTAATTGTTGTTAATCGTTCTCCCACTCTAGTGTTCAATACCCTGGAAAAACTGAGCAGGGAATAGATCGTTTCGTTTTTAGAGCAGGTTTTGAGCTCTTGCACAGTTAATAAAGTATGGGGCCCTACTTAGAAGAATAAGAAAATAAAAACATTGTTCTGAGTAGCTGCTTGTTAGCTAAGCAAAGTCCATTCTGTGCACTGAATGGAAAAAATAGCATGTGAACATGTAATTATACGCAATCGCAATGTGTATGCACACAGGGACCGAAATAAAACTGCATAGGAAATCTTAATTATGCCATTTCCTAGCATCTGAGCACTTTGCTCTGCAAATAGAGAGTCCTTTTAGCACAGGGGGTTTTTTCCCCCTCCCGGGTAATAATACACAACCTAAAATATGGCCAGATCCTTCTTCTGTTTTCTTCTCAGGTGTTCCCATTACTGATACCACTGTGAGCTGAATTTGGCCAGGATGACATTGTTCAGATCAGTTTGCAAAGCGGTTCACGTACCATCTGGATAGAGCCATTCTTTCTGCCTCTCTTTCAGCACAGAGTGTTTAATTATAATCATTAGAAGGATCTGATAAAAAATCTCTTTATGTTCTTCTCCTCCTCCCTCCTTTTTCCTCCTGTGTTGTTCCATAGCCTTATAGAACTTAAAGAGTGGGGATGACAGAATTCATATACTGTGTATATATATTTGGATGACTCACTTCCCTTTGGGGCACATGTACAGTTTTGCCCAGTGACAGACATAAAAACTTTCCTCTAACTTGTTACCACCACACGAGCAGCAGCTCAGATGCAGTAGGTATGCACTGTCACGGGAAATGGGGATGGAAGGAAGATCTAAAGGTACTCAACCATCCCAGACAGCCCAGCCTCGATTAAAAATCTTCTGATGAAGAATAAATAAAGTCTCATTTGGTTCCTTAAATCATCTTTTGCATATGCATTTAGTGACGACCACCCAATCTGTTATCTGGAGCCTTATCCTTCACTTTTTGGTTGTTGGCAGCCCATGTACCATAAGCATCACAGCCCTTGAACCTCACAGCTGAGCATCCAGATGATGTATAGTCATCCATATAATACAGGCTAGAAGGTGGTGGTTGGTTTTGGTTTTCTTCAGATAATGTGCTTTGCTTATTCACCCTCAAACCCTGGGAAAACACCATTCCATGAACTACTCTGCTTTGGACTTTCTGTAGACCCACAGCATCATTTCAGGGGCCTTGACATCCAATTTTAAGGCTCTACATGCACCAGTGCACAAACAGTTCAGCAGTGCTGTTATTGCAATTACTTGTGCAAGTTAATAATGGCCATCCATCTTTGAGAAACCTCTTCAGTCCTTGATCTCAAAGCACTTTGTGGATTATCACATCCATTTTGTAGAGAGAGACTATGGGAAGGCAGAGAGGAAGTGGTCAAGGCCAGTGACAGGGCTGGGAGCAGACATAAAGCCTCCTGATTTCCAGTTGGGTCTTCCGTCCACCTGGGAACAGTCTTAAGCAACTGGATAAATCTCCAAAATTGTGACACAGGAGCTGGAAAGTACCCAGTCCTGCAGATTCTTACGCTGGATGTGTTCCTGACAGTCTCCTGCTGTGTTTTATCCTCTGCCAGGTTTTGTTTGTCTAGCACGTGGCTAGCACAGGGCCAGAAAAGATAGTCCCTCTCCTTACTTCAACTTGGTACAGGGTGTCTTATTAGGGTCAGCTAGAGCACTGGAGCTGCTTCCTGGTGCATGGGCTGTTCTGGGTAAAGGATTTCTGTATTTATTGTCCCCTTATGTCTATTATCTACTGTTGGGTGAAAGTCGTTTCTCAGCTGCTGGAGGACACATCTGAGTTGCTCCTAACAAGCCGTGGTGCTCACTGCCACTGCCCTCCACGCAAGGGAAGAGAAGTTCAAAACAAGAAGCCACCTCTGTGCTCTAATTAGCTTTGCGCTGGCAAATGTGAAGACCATGGTTATTAGAGCACTGGCTTTTGTAATTATGATAAAGTGAATGACATTCAAAGCACTTGTTTGCCAAGAGACTCTCTGGCTGTAGAGACAAGGGATCAGCTAATTGGATCACAGATAGAGATGCTGCTCTAGGTCTCCTCCCACCCCCCACCCCCCATGGCGTGGGGATGGGGTTGCAGTTTGTCTCTGTGTGCTGGATTGGGCAGAGCTGTAGGGTTTACCAGGATCTTGGTTATGTCAAATCCTGGGATTGAGCTGGGTTATTTTCCTGGAGGAAAAAAGTGCCCAAATTCACCAAGCTGAGCCTCAGCTCTTCTTGCCCAGGCCAGGTGGTGTGAGGGCAAGTGGGGCCATTGGGGGATGTCCTGCTTCATTGGCTTTGGCCAGCTGGTTGTCTGACATGCTTTCTTACAGCAGTCTCATCCAGAATTTCTTAAAACCTTTATGCTTTCTGCACAAGCAGCAGTTCTGGAGTTCCCTGAGGCTGGGTTCAGGTGAGGTGCAGTGCCTCTTATCTCCCCGAGTCCTATCATGACCTGGGCTGAGACATTTCAAAGGAGAGCACAGGCACATCAAAAAGTCCCCGGACAATGTGTATCTGGCTCCTAACAACTACCCAGGATGGTTCATCACTATGTCACCAGAGTAATTGGCTGTATTCCTGCAAAATATTCAAGATAAAATGTAATTGTTTGCAGTGATGGCAGTACAGGGAGGACCTGGTCTGCCCGGGTTGAGTTACCAAGCTTGGGTACTGATCAGAGCCATGAAAATGCTCTGAAATTAGCAGGCTGTGTCTGTGCAGGTCATGACCCCAGATAACACAAATGCTAACTGGTATAAAACAACCCCCCTCACTCCTTCATGCTGGCCTGTTGGGCAATTAGTCAAATTAGAGGAAATTCCCTTCCAAGCAGTATCATCACCCAGGCTGAGGAACCCACAGCAGCCCAGAGCCACCAGCGGAGGTTGTCCTCTGCCATGAGCATGATCTGATTTGCTGTAGGCCACACAATAAAACCATACATACAGTCAAAGCCCTATCCTCATCCTCCTGCCCACAGGGACCTCAGTGTCGATGCGGGACTGACTCACACCCAGTTCCAGGTCCGGCCAGTCCCTCAGCCCTATCAGCATTACTTAGCTACACCTCGGATGCACCATTTCCCCAGAAGCACATCCTCAACACAGATGGTAAGTGAAACGCTTTTTACCGAGAAATGTTTTATGCATTGTCTGCCAGAAGGCAGTCAAAATAAAGGCTGCTATCTTTCTATCACCTGTCTTCTGTGAATCCCACTTATCTCCGGCTGTGGGAGGGAGTGTCTGAAAGTATAATGTTGCATCATTGCACTCTGGATTAGAGAAAGGAAAGAAAAGCTCAGCTGCTCTGGAAAGATTCAGTCCATCACGCGCAACACTGTGCTCACAAGATGGTTCGCAAAACCTGGGCAGAATGTGATAGACTCAGCAGTTATTACTAATAATATTATTATACTCGAAAAAAAATGCAGGATCCCAGGACTTTTTGTATACAGACAATTGGAAGTAGATGACTCCCTTCTCTGGGCTCAGCCCTGTGGGCCATCCCTCATCACATCATTGCTATCTACGTCAGCCTTGATGCCATCTGTAAAGGTTTTGCATGACCTCTTGAACAGGTGGAGATGGGGTTTGACAAAAACCTGGGCTGACTGGGGTCATTTGCTGGCCCTTCTCCTAGCAGGGTGCTGTATTTGAACTGAGCCATGCCAAACGCTGCTAGTCATTAAAGCATCCGCAAAAAATCACACAAGGGTATTTTTGTCTCATACCCATAGTCAGACCCTGACAACTGTGTGCTACAGCAAGGTTTAAAAAATCGAAGCTTGGATGAAGAGAAATTCACCCATTTAAAACTAAATAAAATAAAATGTCTTTTTAAGCTAACCCATGTTGAGATTCTAGAACTGCAATGTTATAGATAAAACAGGAATTATTATAACAGATAGTTTATTTCAGAAGAAATGTGTGTTCTTAGCTATCATTCATCTATTTAATAAAACCTAATATTTTGGTTATTAAAGGGTTTCACTGGGGAAGGTGTCAGTCCGCTCTTTCATTTTGAATTTTTAAAATACTATATTTAAATCAAGGTACATAAGGCATTTCTATGTGCAAGTACAGGTGGTTTTATTTTTCTTCCTAACTTCTCGCAGGTTGTTCATGAAATCAGAAATTACCCTTATCCTCAGCTTCAGCTACTCGCTCTTCAGGGACTGAACCCAAGCAGGCACACATCCGCTGTGCGGGAGAGCTATGAAGTACGTAGCCCAGGGACTGGAATTATTATCAAATTTTGAAGTGCTGGGAATCTATGCAAGCTCTGGCATAAACTTGTAAGACTGATTTGCGGCATGGAAATTGCGTTGAGTTTTGCAGTAATTTTAGTAGTAACTGGCAGGCAAAGGGTTTGAGTGAGTTTTGTAAAAGATGGTTTACTCCAGGGTGTCTGGGTCTGTCTCAGGCTGACTCTGGCTCGCTTCATGTCTGTGAACAAAGTGCTTCAGTTCTGTGGGGTTTTGTTTCCCAGCCTGCCAAACAGAGCTCAGATTCCACCCTAATTTCTGAAATATTGAATATCCAACTCTCTGCCCTCTGCCTTGAACTCTCAGTTACTGGTCCAAGGGCCAGGGCTCAAATCCATCACTAAAGAATGACTGATTTGGGTTTGATGGACATTTCTGCCAAGGAAAGGGCAAGAGGGAGCCTTGGTCCCCAGCAGGTAGGCTGGGGTGGTGGGACCTCATGCCCCAGGAGGAATGCTGATGGTGCTTTGCTACTGTTCCTGTGCCGCAGGAGCTACTGCAGCTGGAGGACAGGCTGGGCAGCGTGAGCCGGGGCGCCGTCCAGAATACCATTGAGAGGTTCACCTTCCCCCACAAGTACAAGAAGGTGAGTGCCCCAGAATTGCTGCCCAACTGCCGGCCCCTCTCAGTCGGCCAAGGGTTGTGGGCTTGGAGCAGACAGAAGGAAGAACTTCGGTGGGTAGCAATCCTTAGCGTTGGCAAACCGGCACTGTTAATCGAAATATTCCCTGAAATGGGAGAGGAGTGTAAAATCCAGAATTGGTGCTTTAATATCTTGTGGGGCTACCGGGCTGAAACGGCTTAGCTCAGCTGGATGTTTCTCACTTCTAGGCTAGGAAGCTGCAGCCCAAATTTTCAAAAGGGTCTCAACCTTCTCCCACCCCGTGGGTACAATTTCCCCCCTGTCCGCAACTGGTAAGAAAGTGCACACACCAAGGGGGTTTCATGCATGCAAATTTGCCCCGTTCTGCATGCAAGCAGCGCTGCCCGCACGCCCTGCCATGAGGGTCCTGACTCCATGGCGTGGGGGAGCTTCTCCTCCCCTTGCTTTGCAAGAGGTGTCTCCTCTGTTGGAGCTGCTCTCCTGCTCGTAAGGAAATTGGTGCCATGGTTTTGAGTCGTGGTAAGTAGAAAATGAGAAAAGTGCTTGTCTGCGTAGCAATTTCACACGTTGGTCATTCCTGGCTGGGCACTAACAAGTAGGGACATTGCACTGTCCAAGTTGGAAGTGAGTCAACTCCTGCTGTGCTTCCTCTGACCAGATCTCCAGTGGATCCAGAAAAATTACATCAATAGGAATGGATATGTGGGGGGAAGAGAAAAGGGCAGATCTAACATGCTGAGCACTGCCCCGTGGTGCAGAGTGGGGCTAGGCCAGTGGCCAAGCTGGAATGGGGCACAGTGGTTGTCCTTTCTGGCAGTGGTGGCCCCACTTCTCCAGGAGAAGCCTCCAGCAAAGGAGATGATGGGTCCATCCCCAGTTCAAGGAGGAGAGAAGAGGTAGCAGAGGGCTGTGTTAGTGCAACAGAAGACAGGCTGCTCCTTGGGGCACTACCACCAGCCCCACTGCTACTGGCCCCAGGAGGAGACGTGATGACCAACAGCATGTTGGTGGCATCCTCCCCTCACTGGCTGTTTTGGCTGGGCTGACTTCCCCAAGCTGGAGGATCTGGCTGATAGATGAAGCTCTTATTATTTGTCCTCCTGCAACTACTCAGGCTTGGGAGAGCATTAGAAAGTGAAGTCCTAACCAAATCATGTCTGTAACCTTGCTGCAGAGAAGACCGCAGGAGGGCAAAGGTGAGCAAGAGGATGGAGAGGAGTCAGACACTGATGAGAAATGCACAATTTGTCTGTCCATGCTTGAAGATGGAGAAGACGTCAGGTACGATCCTTCCATCTGCTCTTCTGCCTCTTGATGCCATCTGTGTTGTGTTTATTAATGTTGCCATGTGCTGGTGAGATTGTCCCTGTTCCTGTCCTGACAAAGTCACCTGGGCTGTTGTAGTGTCTGGGAACACAAATGTCATTTAAATGGATGTTGGTATGGGCTGTTGATAGAAAAAGCTCTGCAGCAGCAGGAAGGCCAAGGTTTTATAGTATCTCTTGGGTTTGGATCACCTGCTTCAAGGCTGTGCCAACGGACCAGGTGGCAAGTGTCAGAGAAGGATGGCTCCCAGGTCTCAGACAGCCATCTGGAGCTTGGGACATCCACATCTGAGCTTGACAGATGACCAAAGGACAACAAAAGAGAGTGTGGGTGTGAAGTCCAGGGGAGTTTGGCTTGTGGCCAGGACAGAGCTGCTTTATTATAGAGTAAGTGAGATTACTCTGCCCGCACGGTCCCAGGGAGCTGTCCTGAGCCAACAACAAAGCCCCAATTATCCCTCACAGATGCCCCCAGGCTCTTGGCTGAGTCAAATCTCTGTGGCAGAGGATGAGAACAGCCAATTGCAAGGGCCTGAGCTACCACGGTTGAAGAAGCTGCAGGTGGGTAGTGCAGCTGCACTACCTGGTCCTGCTCCTCACCCTCTGATTGCCTTAAACCATCAAGAAAAACTCTGTCCCTCTTGCTGTAGGTCCTTGTGGCTCAGGGTCCCTCTGGCTCATGAGGGTGAATGAAGAGATAGCAAGGGTGATGTAGATGAAAAGAAACCACATTCCCTGGGGAACACCAGACACCCACGCAGGAGTGGTGGGGACACACCTGACTGCTAATGAACTGCAGTGATGAAGAACCAAGAGGCTTTAAAGTATAACTCTAGTAGTCCTGAAAGGTTAAAAAGCAGCGGACAGTGTAATTAATAACTGGAACAGCTTAATTCATGAGGGTGTGGGGTTTTCTCAAGGGCTTTTAGCCAAAAAGGGCACCATCTCTGACCTACTGCCCTGTGTGAGCTGGTATGGCTGGGGAAGGCTGTAGGACCTAGGCAGCAGTGGTGTCTCTACAGCGGTGCTTCTCCATGTTTAAAGCAGCCCCGGCTGCTGCCCTCTGGCTCTTTGTGGTCCCCTGGACCTCCTCCATCCTAACGGGGTGGTAATTCTCTCTCTGCAGGCGGTTGCCCTGTATGCATCTCTTCCACCAAGTGTGTGTGGACCAGTGGCTGGCCACCAGCAAGAAGTGCCCGATCTGCAGGGTGGACATTGAAACACAGCTCGGCTCGGACAGCTGAAAGGACTGGCTGGACACACCATTTTCCTTACCAGGTCGTATGGCCATAAACCCTTGCAGCAAAATTTTTGCCTTCTGAGCCATTTGATTGAGAGGAAAAGTCTGCAGGCACGTTAGTGAGGAGGAGGAGGAGGTGGCGGTACAATATCTAGAGTTAGGAGATATTGCACATACGCAGGATACGGGCCCGGTGAAAGGGAGCTGGCATTCCCGGAGCTCAGAGACCCCGTGCTGCAGAAGATTTAGTGTTGAACATGAAGGAACTAGTTGTGGTAGTCTGGCCTGTCAATCCTGCATTTCATGAGGATTGTATATATACCTCTCGAATACGTAGAAACATGTTAGGGGTCCTTTAGCTATTTCTATGGATGGCAGCTGGAGCATGTTAGCTTAAGAAATGTTGTGTTTGATGCCCTACTCATCTTGTGGTGGACATGTTGCTGTTACCTAATTTGCACCAAATATTTTTTCATAGATTCCTTATTTTGGTGCCTGATTAATACATTACAGAAGGGGAATAAAGATGCCAAACTTTCCCACCCTTGGGGGGGAAGAGGCAAAAAAGCAAAATCCTGTTTACAGTCAGAAAGGTTGGGCTCTTTGCCTCAGCCGCATGTTCTTCCTCTCCTTGCGTTTGCAGTGTGTTTCAAATTTAGAGAAGCTTAAAAAAAAAAAAAATTGGAAATGAAATGAATGAAGCAATAAGAAGAAGCTTCATTCCTGCTTATCTGCTGGTGCTGGACACTTTCTGTAGGGGCACAATAATGGGGTAGATGCTCTTCCTTTTTTTTCTGTACCCTAATGAAGTAGCTTGGCATATCAAAATCCAAGGAAGGGCTGTCTTCTTGTTTGCTGTTGTCCATGATGCTTTCTCCTGTGAGCGGTGACGCTGGCTGGCTTCAGCACTGATCCAAAACGATGGTTCCTGGAGTCAGTGTCTGTAGCTGTGCTCTGGGGTATAATAATGCCAGAGAGGAGCTAACAGATGTATGCCACCAACTCCCCTCCCATGCAAAAGCATCTCTGATAACAGGATGGGAGAAAACTCCCGATGCTCACAAGGCCCTGCTGAGGCCATGAGCATTTCAGTGTGGGAGGGGAAGGCAGGTTGGAAGCAGGATTTGGTTCTTTTCGGAGGGGCTGGGTTGTGACCCTGCCTCGAAACACATGCACCTGCACCCACATGTGTTTGTATACATGTTTCAGGCTGTATCTGTACGGCTGCTTTGAGCCTGGAGGAGTGAGATGTGGTGATCCCTGAAATAAAGACCTCAGCATGCCAGCTGCAGGGACCAAACTGAAAACCCTCCGGAGAACCAATATTCACAACTAGCCCCCTTTTTTTCTTTTTAATTTAAAATGCTTGCTTTTTTTTTTGTTTTGTTTTGTTTTTTTGGATAGTAGGAGAGCAAAAGAGGGACACATGGGAGCAAGGGGAATTAGTCAGGAACACTATATATTGAAAACGCTGATGCGATGGGGATGGTTTCTGGCACCCCTGAGCTTCCATTTCACTGGAGTCAAGTGATGCTCTCCAAGTAGAAACAATCATAAATTACTATCTGAGAGATGGTAGGATTCCCGTGAGCCATAATTTGAAAACAACCTCAGAGGCACCCCAGAGGTTTATTTTTTCCCCCAACAGAAGGGAGGGAAAGAGGGAAGCCCCACAGAGTATGAGAATGCAGGAGCCCATGCAGGTAAGGGGGAGTGGAGGGAGACACATGATGGCACATAAGGAAAACAGCAGGAAGAAATTCTTTACAATGAGGGTGGTAAGAGACTGGAACAGGTTGCCCAGAGCGGTGGTGGATGTCCCATCCCTCGGAGCATTCCAGGCCAGGTTGGTCAGGGCTCTGAGCAATGTGATTGAGTTGAAGATGTCCCTGCTCCAGGCAGGGGTGTTTGGGCTAGATGGCCTTTAAAGGTCCCTTCCAACCCAGACCAGTCTGTGATTCTGTGATTCTACTATGTATTTGCCACTCAGCACAAGCAATGTCTTCTTGGGGGTTGTGGTGGTCCCAGCCCCAATGTCCATGGGTCAAGGAGTGGTCCATCAATACCTGTGGGGCTTGCTCCAGCAGCAGCAGATTGAAGCAGCATTAAAAATAATACCAATATTACTAATAATATGGACAAGCAAAGCAAGGCTTTGCTGGTAAAACACACTGTAAGCCGGTCTGGTCTGTCCAGGCGTGAGCTGGGGGTGAAGCAGGGGGAGGAAGGGAGCGATTGGGACGCTGGCCAGGTAGGCAGGGAATGAGGAGCGCTTCCGAACCGCGTGTATTCTTAAAGCCTATGCGAAAGTATTACTATTTGCCTAATGAACAAGCACAGTTTTTAAAAAAAACAAAACAAAATAAAAAAAAAAACACACACAAAAAAACAAAAAAAAAAAAAACAAAAAAAAAAAAAAAAAAAACAACAAAAAAAAAACCTTTGGTGAAGAAAAGCACCAAACTCCCGTGGTCTCGTGTGAGTGACTGATTCCAAGGTGCGTGCGAATTTACAGCGTCTGGAGTTGCATCAGTGTGTCAGGTTCCTTTACGTTTAAATAATTTGTACGAGTAGGTTGCGATAATAGGATGAGTTTAAAAACAAAATGAAACAAACCACAAAAAATCTCTAGGAACAAAACATTGATAGTTTACAGGGTTTTGTGAGTTTAAATGCCTTATATTTAACAATCATAATTTATGACTAACTTGTAGATATTGTGGGTTCTTATTTAATTATTTTTATAGTTGTTTTTTTGCATTTTTAATTATAATTTATTTATTTAGAAATTAATACTAATTTTTTTTATTACTCCTATTACCTCATTTTTGCATTGTTTCTGGGAATGGAATGCTTTGCATGCGTCGGTACTTTAAAAAAAATTAAACATGGGATGTGGGGGGTAATGCTTATCTTGTCAAAAAAAAAAAAAAAGAGAAAAAAATCAGGGTGTGTGATTACAAACTGTATTACTGTGGTGCTGTTACCTTGGATACATTCCATAAAAATGCAAACCTTTGATTCTGTATGCTGTGACATAGTGGAAAACTGCAATATAGTGACTGTGTTTAGCACATATATATGAATATTATTTGCACTCATAATCAAACTCTGGTGATCCTTTCATTTGTGTCCTTGCACATTGAAGGTGATTAACAGCGCTCTGCAAAACCAAAATGTTTCGGTCAGTTTTTGCTACTGCCCTGTCCCTGAGGCTGCTGGGGATGCTCCTGCTCTTGCTGCATGTGTTACCCTGCAATAATACCCAGCGAGCCCCGGCTACAAGGCTGTGCTCGGGGCAATGCATGCATTTAGTGCAAGACTCTGCAAATTGCTTCAAAAGCCGAGGAAGAAAGCCCAGGCATGGTGGTTCTGTCCAATTTTTGGTGCCTATTGGCGCTCAGGCTGGCTCTTTCCAACCTCTGTGCATTCACCCCTGTGGGCACTGCAGGGAGGATGAAGGAGGCAACTTGAGTTTGGAAGCAACAAAACTGAGGGATTCACTGCAATTTTTCAGGGTTGACTCCTGGCCTAACTGAGAGGGGCTGGGACGGACGCGGGCGCAATTCGGCGTCCCTTTGTAACGTCTGGCCACCAGCGTTTGCCACGACCCAGCTGTGAAACGTCCAAGGAGCAGAAGCCCTCAAGGCTGATCTTCTTGATCAGCTGGTTTCATCCCCACCCCCCCACCACCCCCGTTAAGGGGGAAACCTCAACCTGGAGATTTGGGATCCACTGTAGAGCTGGGGCCCGCACTGGAGCCCTCCTGTCCCCAGGGAGGGGGTCAGCCCCAAGCTGATGTCTTGCTCCAGCAGCGGTGGCCAAGGACCCCCCACCCCTGCCACTCTCACAGCGCACTGCCCTTTCCCGAAAGGATCCTGAGCATCAAGTGCTCGAGCTTTGTAAGAACATCGGAGCACTTTTGATAGCATTTTAAGCTTTAAGCCATAACCGCCCTTGGTCACTGCAGATGCTCGGCCACGTGTGGACAGAAGTGGGGTTCGATGCATGTGCTCAACCAGTGGCCGTACACGCTCCCCCCCCCCCCCCCAGAAAGGCTTTGGATGCAATTCTCTTTCAGGTTAGAAAGGCACAAAATGACTGTACCTTAATTTTTTTCTTCTCTGTCCCTTCAGGGTGCTGCTCTGCTTTGTTGACTTTGCCTTACCCTGGGTGTTAAACCTGTCTGTGTTGATTTCCTTGCTGCTCTGTAACACTCCTCCCCTGTAGCCTGGAACTGCGGTTCTGAGCCATGAGGGGATGGGTGTCGGTTGTTTCCTCCCCCTCAAAGACACTGTAAAAGGGATAAGTAAAACAAGGAACAAGCGAACAAAAATCCTGTCCTTTAATGACCGGGGCTGGTGAAAGGATCACCCACATTTTTGTACTCCTACTGCTGTTCTGTTGTGCTGTGCAACATTTTGTTACATAGACTATTTTATAGAAGAAAGTTAGAAGAATATTTATTATTAATATTAAAGCAATAGTGCATTGAAGAAATAAAAAAACATTAGAAATTGTGTAAATGCTTAGATTCACTTTTGGTGGATTTTTTGTACTTTATTTATAACTAATAAAACAAACTGCATTGCTAACTATAAACCTGTGTCACACAGAAGTCACCTGGCAGAGTGATTGCTTGCTCTTCATTTACCACTCGTTTCTTATTTCTTTGGGCTGGAGTCAACCCTTATTTGACAGCTTACACCTTTGGACTTTGATGTGCAAAAGAGACGCTGCTGGAGTATAAAGTATTCTTCCCAGCTGATTTGCAGAGGCTGTTGGTGTTTGAGCTCCATGGTGGAGGTGAGATGAGGCTTTCCATGCTGGGCACACCACCACGTGTGATGTCCTGTGGCACCAGTTTTGTGATTAGGCACCAAAATCACTTTCTAGAACTAGACTGGAAATTGCCTGTTAAAGAGAAATTTCTCTTTTAAACACAACCCACGGTGCCTGTATGATATTTCTAGCAAGTCCTGCAGAGATACTGACAGGTCCTTCATCCTCCCAGTGGAGAAGCATCTCTCTCCCTGTGGGTCTCCTGTTTAATAACTAAGGAAAGACAAACTTATTGAAAGAAAAAAAAAGATCCTCCAAACTAATACAGATATACTTGAGGGTATTTTCAATGCTTTTGTAACCCGTAGGAGAATTCAATGGGCCATGCACCTAACTTTACCGCCTGCACAGCTCATTTCATAGATCCTCTTGCACTTTTATTTTTTCCCACAATGAAGAGTGCCAGTCTTTGCTCCTGCCCAGTCAGGATTCAGCTGCTCCTCCTCATGCATTTCATGTAGAAAGGCTGAGACCAGTCTCTGGCTTTGACTATGTGATTAGACTAAATAAGCATTGGAGACAGGCAGCCGCTGATCATAGAGATTTGGTTCCCATCGCCAAAGGGAATTGCTGGCTCCTCCAGCATCCAGCCGAGGCTGCATAAGGGATGCGCCATATTCAGGCAATACAAAGCTCCCATTATAGGAAGCTTTCACAAATTCAGAAAACGGGTTAAAAATGATCTGCTGGTCCAGCTGGGGAGAATCTCGGTTGCCCGCTGAGATCTTGCTGATGTCCTTCGAACGGCCGCGGTGCTGAGAGAGCTGCTCGAGGTGGCCGTCGGTTTGGCTTCAGAGCTGCCGCAGCAAACGCGCCGCCGCGATCTGATCACAGCCCTGCCGAGCGCGGCGAGCGGTGAACGGTGGCTGTGCCGGGCAGGGAGAGGGGCTGTGCCCACCGAGCTGTAACGGCACGGGCCGAGATGCAGCGTCTTCATTCACCGCAAGCATCTGCTCTCCCAGCAGCCGACCAGGGTCAGGAAGCTCAGCCCTTATTTGTGTTTTTTAGTACCTAAATCCTCAGCTGCCCCACAGGTTGCAGCTCAGAGCTGTACGCTGCCATCAGTAAATGTAACTTTTCTTTTGGTTGTTTTTTTAAGTGGAGATATTTTTCTGTGTCAGAATGGACCTCTACCCATACAGATGGGGGAGGGGAGACTATAAGATGGATACTTCACAGTCCTCAGGTATTCTGCCTTCATGCACGTAAAGTTGGTGTAGGTATATGATGCTTTCAAAAACATTTCACAACATTTTCATAGAGATTTTAAAATTATTCTGTCTTGCAGAAAGAGACAACCAGTATCCCTTAGTATCCAACGCAGAAAAGCATTCCTTGGTTATACTGTTTTTCACTGGAAGTACCCAAGTGCTTTTGTAAACACAGCACTTCATTGAGCTCCCAAAATGTTGGGGACGACAGAGACGATGGGATTCCCTGGTTTTGCAGACACCTGCTGACTGCTACCACCCTTGTCCTTTGCTATTGCTTCTCATGTACATTCATGTTTTCTGGATGAAGGCATATCCATTAAAATCCCACCAATTAAGAAATAAAGAGAAGAAAAAAAAAAGGTAGAGGGTGTCAGGGGGAGCAGTAGCTGTGTATTTGCATAACATGTGGCTCTAGGGTGCTCTGCCCCAGCAGACAGAGATTGCCTAAGCCCTGCAAAAGGCACAGAGCTAGGCCAACTTTAGCTTTTTTCCTCCCCAGTTCTCTACTTGTCCGAGAACATGTTGGTTTTATCAGCTTAATGCAAATCCAGCCCTCTGAAAAACGCTACTTCTGCCTTACTACTTTTGTAGTATTAGTTATTGCAGCAACGGAATGACTCCCCAGAGCCAGGGTGGAGTTGAATTTTGCACAAACAAGGGGCCTTTTTGAACTATTTAGAAGAAAAAAGCAGAGTTTTTTCATGCTTTGCCAAGGTTGCCTTTCTGGGAGGCAGTGAGGTTGATGACCCTGTAGCAACAAACTCCCCCTCAGCCCTTTTTAGGGCAGCATTGCCTGGAGGTCAGCACAGCTTTTGTGTTGAACATGCCTCTCCAGGGTTGGCAAGCGATTTTGATGGCAACCCAGGTATCTGAAATCCCATTTCTCACCTACGCAGTGACGTGGTGACCCTGAAGATGTTAATTCCTGCTTCATCAGGACCCCAATCCATGGCTGTAGCTACTTGCTATGTGTGACTATTTCCAGATGTGAGCACATCTCACGCGTAAGGTAAAGATTTATCTTTCCTCCTTGCCCCATGGAGTGACGGTGTGTGGACCAGGAGCTGCCTCACTGCTCCCAGGGGCTGGAAGCTTGGAGCAGTGCAGGTCCCACGTGTGTCACAGTGAATTTGCTCAGGGGCTGGCAGGGATTAAACTGCTGCGATGCAGCAATGCTGTCAAACCAGCATCTCTGGCAAATCTGCAGCAAGTGGGTGCTGACTGGAGCCAGCTGGAAACGCTGGGACTAGAGCATTCTAACGGGAAAAACTCCTATTTCACTGCAGCATACATTTGCCTGAAAATGGGACAAATCTATTGACAGGGAGGGTTTTTTCATAGCTCTGGTAGACTGGGGTGGGAGGGAAAGCAGAAAGATCAAAAGCCTGACCCTTTTTTTTTATTTCAAAACACCCACTGGGGAACTGCTGCTTTGCAAGGACACTGCATAAGCGCAGCAAAAGCAAATGCTCCAGACTTTGCTTGTGGGCTCTCCTGTCTGGAGAGCAGGGTCCCAGGGATGCAACATGCCTGATGGCATGATCATGGCACCCACTTCATCCCTCCTGAGGTCTGCTCTACTCCTCCTTTGAGCTCCCAGCCCCCGGCTCTGTCCTTGCTCAGAGCTTGGTAGCCCCAGTCTGCAGTGAGGAGGGAGAACACAGCCACTGAAGGCTGCTATTATTACTCCCATCAGTGAGTAGCTGATCATTGATGAGGTTGATTACTGGGCTCATTTAAGCAACTTGCTCCACTTCAAAACCATCAGTTACCATAAAGGTTTCTAAAATGAATTAGTCTGAGCTATTATTTGTGAGCTGGCACAGACAGCCCTGAATAAGCTCCAGTCTCTTCAGTGGTGTCTGCCGCGGAAAATAAAGATGCAATACTTCCCTGGCTGGGCTTTGGTGGGATGCAGCAGCTTTCAAATATCCAAGAGCAATCAACAGCACCTGCAATATGCCCCTAACTCCTGTCTCAGCATCACTAGCCTTTGCTGGGGCCTCCTTTGCCCATGACCAGGCAGAGATTCAGCAGTGGGACAGCCTGGCCCCTGCCTTTTGGCCAGGAACATCCAGGTCAAGTCCCAGCAGAAATATCCTCCCCAACACAGGGATTGATGGGGGTGGGTGGGCTCAGTGAGTTTAACCCACCCTTGACCCATCTGATCCCCATTTGCACAAAATGCTTTTTTAAAAACAGGTTCTGGGAGAGGGAATGATCTCTCCTAGGACATGGGTAGGCCAAGAGGAAGGTCTTCTTCTTATGGTGGCTCAGACACCACCATTTTTCTCCTCCAAAGGATGTGTCCTGCTGCTTTGCTCCCTGGGGAGGGAGACAGGGCTCCAGAAGTAATGATTTGTAAGCAGCTTTTATTGGTACCTGTAGAGAGGCAATTAGCTGGGAAGAGCTCATCTACAGGAGCACTGGACCTTATTGTGGCCAGGAAATCCCTTCTCCACCACAGAAAAAAATCAAAACAGCAAACTTTATTAAAAGAAAATGAATAGAATGAATGTCAACTGCTCTGAAACAGAGTTGTTATGCAGACCATATAGGGTAAAATAATCCTGAGGCAGCTTTGAATATAGTTAGCACAGATCCCTTGAAGTGGAATTAATTATTTGGTAGGTCTTTTGATCCGGTTGCTGCTACAGCTCTGGACAGACACAGAAAAATTCAGCCCAAGAGCTGGGTCTGACTTTGGGGGAAAGCCCACGGGTGGAAAACACCACCCAGATCCCACCTGTTGAGACCTGTCTGGGTGGATAAGGAGTCCCTCCCCACAATCCTGCAGAAAGCCCTGCTGTGCCCGTTGCTTTCCATGCAGTGCCTTCTGGAGATGTGCATTTGTGTGTACAGATATGCGGTGTTCACAGATGCCAGAAGTGGGAAAAACTGGGATCTCCAAGCTCAATTTTCTTAAATATATTGGCTCAATTCTCTTATCTTCTTTACTCAACTAAAAGGGGACCCCATCAGTGATGGAGGTCAGCAGGCTTTCCCAGCCCTGGCAGGGCAAAGCACTGAAAGCAGAAGATGTTATCTGAGCTATTAAAAGATGGTTTATGGCTCTGCTAGTTGTGGCTTTTAATCATAAATACATGAGAAATGTATTTCTTTCATTCACAATTTTATATGCACTTTAAAAAAAGCAGTATTACTTTTACAAAATGTTAACCCAGGAAGCACATCTTGCTACTAAAAATCTCTCAATATAAAACGCAGCGTTTTAAAAAGTAAAATGTAATATAAAATCATATAATGAGAAAAATGTATATGCAGAAGGGACCAAAACCCTCTTGCAGCCCTGCCCTCCTCAGTACCTAGGAAAAAGCTCCCTCCAGATTAACCCATCGCCCCGGTTTTCATCCAGCCACTTCCCGCAGGGAAATATGGTGGTCACACCAGTTGCCGAGTTGGTGATCTCCACCCGCTCCACCAGCCAGCCTGGTGCTAAACCGCTGTTGTCATGCTCAATCCGGACTTTTTTTAACTCCCCCATCTCCAGCGTTTCCAGGTAAAACCTATCAGTTTTGCCCCGCT